AATATCAAAGAAATTAGATAAAGACCCTGAAACATTATATTTAATATGCAACTGTCAATATTAACTCATTTTTAAAATTATATATTTCTTTTCTCAGCACAGCGAATTTTAATGTTTCCCTTTTCCAGGAGGAGAGGTTGCCCTACCCACGTTTGAAGACACCCCAAAGATTGTCTGGCAGTTTGGTGCAGAAAGGATTTGGCCCAATCTTGTGCTGGCTAGGATACAGAAAAGCATGTAAAGTTTGTGGCTCAAAGTCCACCGGGCTGGAGTAGGGCAGAATGTGCACAGGGAAGTGGTCTGGGAGAGACTTGTAGGAGTGTGGGCTTGGGTTCCTGTGACAGAGGTAGTTAGTTGGTCCTGGTGGACCAAGGCTGGGGTGGTCAAGGGGAGCCTGAGCCCTCTGGCTGGGAGGACGCTCCTGCAGTGGCCCCTGTCTAGGGGAGCTAGTTCACCAGCTCACTGCTTTCAAACCACAGCTGGATCTCTTTCTGACCCCTTACCCTGAATAGCTGGTGTGAATGATATTCCTGCTGATGTGGACGTCGATGAAGTCTCCGCATATGGTCACAGAGTCAGCCTCAGCCCTGTCAGTGTATCCTATCATGGCCCTCGAGGCATGGATCACATTGTACCCTTCCCAGACCATGGCCATCAACAGGCCTGAAGCTCACATAGCTAAGGAGGGCTGGGTAGAAGAGCTTCCTTCGCAGGCCCCAGTAGTGGTCAGCAAGGACGCTTTCCAGCGGGCCGCAGGATCTTTATCCCTACCAGCTTGAATCCCTGCCTCCAAAGCACTGGATCACATCCCTAACAGACTGCCACAAGACCCCATCTGGCTTCAGTGAGACCAGGGTCCACTCTTGGATCAAGAAGTGGGCAAGGGATATGAACAGACATTTCTCAAAAGAAGACATGCGTACAGCCAACAGACACATGAAAAAATGCTCGTCATCACTGGCCATCAGAGAAATGCAAATCAAAACCACAATGAGATACCATCTCACACCAGTTAGAATGGCAATCATTAAAAAGTCAGGAAACAACAGGTGCTGGAGAGCATGTGGAGAAATAGGAACACTTTTACACTGTTGGTGGGATTGTAAACTGGTTCAACCACTACGGAAAACAGTATGGCGATTCCTCAAGGATCTAGAAGTAGAAGTACCATATGACCCAGTCATCCCATTACTGGGTATATGCCCAAAAGATTATAAATCATGCTGCTATAATGACACATGCACACGTATGTTCATTGCAGCACTATTCACAATAGTAAAGACTTGGAATCAACCCAAATGTCCATCAGTCATAGACTGGATTAAGAAAATGTGGCACATATACACCATGGAATACCATGCAGCCATAAAAAAGGATGAGTTTGTGTCCTTTGTAGGGACATGGATGCAGCTGGAAACCATCATTCTCAGCAAACTATCGCAAGAACAGAAAACCAAACACCACACGTTCTCACTCATAGGTGGGAACTGAACAATGAGATCACTTGGACTCAGGAAGGGGAACATCACACACCGGGGCCTATTATGGGGAGGGGGGAGGGGGGAGGGATGGCATTGGGAGTTATACCTGATGTAAATGACAAGTTGATGGGTGCTGATGAGTTGATGGGTGCAGCACACCAACATGGCACAAGTACACATATGTAACAAACCTGCACATTATGCACATGTACCCTAGAACTTAAAGTATAATAATAATAAAAATAAAATAAAAATAAATAAAGAAATAAAGAAATAAAGAAGGGTCCTCCTGAGCCGGGCGCCAAAAGCAGGCACGGGCAAGAGCCCGCGGGGTCGTACAGCAGGCCCGGCAGTGGTGGCATGCCCGAAGAGGCTGCAGGTGACGTCTGACCACAAGCCATTGATTCTAAAAATTATATGTTTTAGTCCTGAAGGGCCTAGAAACAATGACTATACAATATTTATGAGCATTCCTAGCTCACAAGTGAGTGATCCCCATTAAAAGGAGCCAAGAATCCATTTAAAAAATGCATGAAGTTTTCAAAGACTAAAGGGGTAATGTCAGAACACAGAAGCCAAAGTTGGTGCAATTCGAGCATCTAACAGAAAAAAATGACTATAACTGATTAAAATATATTGAATATATATTAAAATCCATGCATCCATGATGATACTGAAAAAGGAACCCTTTCCCAAAAGGAGAAAACATTTTTCATTTGCTGCCACTGGAGGTGACTATTGATAGGCAGGTAGATATATATCATATTCTGAAAATCTGTAATTAAAAGGAAAGAAATATTTATTCTGTCTTACTAGTAGGAAGCATATTTCAGTGTACCCAAATACATAGCAACCAAGCAGGATTTATTTCAGGAATTCTAAGACAATTGAATAGTAGGAAATCTATTAATAAAATTCACCATTAAGGAATCTAAGGTGAAAATTATACTATCACTTTCATAGGTGTTGAAAAAGCATTTGATAAAATCTAGTCTTAATTTTTAAAAATCACTCTGAAAGGTAGAAATTAGGTACATTTTCTCATTGAGATAAAGTGTTTTTCATACCCAAATGGAATAGAACTAGTAATACAAAAACTGCCCATAATGAAGCAGTAACAGAAGCAGCATTTCTACTAAAGTTGTAAAAAGACAAGGATGCCCACATCACCACTATTATTTAATATTGTATTGGAGGTAGTAGGAAGATGTTAGTATAAAAATTGAAAAGGAAGAAGGAAAACTACTATTATTTGAAGACAATGGTTACCTCCCTAGAAAACCCAAGAAATCAACTAAAATGTTACTGTAAGAGAACTCAGTCAGGTAGCTGGGCACACAAATATACAGAAATTAGTACTTCAGACTACATTCCAGAAAGAAAACGTAGTAAGAGAAGAAAGTCCTGCTTAAAACAGCAACAAAGAATGATAAAAATAACTAGTGCTGAATCTAATGAGTGAGACACAAAACTTATATAATTTTTTTTTTTTTTTTTTTTTTTTAGACGGAGTCTCACTCTGTTGCCCGGCTGGAGTGCAGTGGTGCATCTTAGCTCACTGCAGCCTCTGCCTCCCAGGTTCAAGTGATTCTCCCACCTTAGTGTCCCGAGTAGTGGGGATTACAGGCATGCACCACCACACTGGGCTAATTTTTGCATTTTTAGTAGAGACACGGTTTTGCCACGTTGGCCAGACTGGTCTTGAACTCCTGACCTCAGGTGATCCACCCACCTTGGCCTCCCAAAGTGCTGGGATTACAGGCATGAGCCACCAGTCGCCCAGCTGTAAAAAACTTTAGGACCACACTAATTCAACAAAAAGATGAGCACTAAAAGACAACACCAGAACACTCCCAATTATTAAAGTTAGTTATTCTGGTGTGTGTGTGTGTGTGTGTTGTGTGTTGTGTGGTGGTTGTGTTTGAGACTGGTCTGCTCTGGCACCCAAGCTGGAGTGCAAGTGGTGTAATCTTGGCTAATTGCAGTCTTGAAGATATTGGTTTTCTGAATATTAATAGATTGTATCAGATTTCAATAAAAATTCCTATAAGTTTTGTTCTTTGGTTTTCTCTCCCCCCTTTTTTTCTTCAAGTAGACAAGTTACTCCCATAATTCATACAAAAAAAGTAAACAAACAAAAAAAGGTCAGGAAACATCAGAAAAGAAGAAGGGCAAATAGTGGGGACCAGCACTGTCAGATCTATGGAATATATTTAAAAGTCTCAATTATTAAAGCAGTGTGGTATGAATGCATGAAAGGGAGACTGACCAATGGAATATGATGGAAAAAATCCAGAAATACACTCTAAAACATACATGAATTTATTAATAAAGGCTCAATCCCAAACAGTGGGGCAAAGATAGACTATTCAACTCTGATTGGGACCACTAAGTAGACATTTGAAAAAGGATAAAGTTGAATCCCTGTATGTTACGCTAGGTTAAATTCCAAATGAGTCAATATTTAAAATGAAAATTAAAATCATAATTCTGGAAGAGAACATGGAAGAATTCTTTTAATATTTTGAAATGTAACAGTGCCTCAAAATCCTGACGCCATAAAAGTTAAATTTGACTATATAGAAATAAAAAATCTTCTACATGACAAAAGATAAATGGCAGGTAAAAATGGGTATTTGTAACACATATCACATGCTTTTGTGTAAAAGAAAGAAAATTAATAATCCATGTTTGCATTTCCTTATGTATGTATAAAGAAATTCTGTAAGGATCTATAGAAAATTAAGAATAGAAGTTATTTATGGTGGAGGTGGAATACTGGGTAGATGGAAGATAAGAATGGGAGGAAAACTTTTCACTGTATAACTTTTTTTACATATTGGCCTTTAAACCAGGTGAATATATTGCCTATATGGAAAGCTAAATTTTTTTTTAAGTTCCAACTTTCATATAGCTTACTTTCCAGTGCAGGGAGATAAATAAAAATACAAATCAATATACACTTGGAGTCATAGTGAGATAATTAAATCTATGAATACAAGGAACTTATTTATTTTGTTAGTCTTCACAGTGACTCAAAAAGAGTGAAGCACATACTAGTAGCTCAATAAATACTTTCTGAATAACTGTAGAATCACTTGTTTTAAGTCTTGTCTCTATGATTATGTTATTTTTCTACTAGTTTTTTTTTTTTTTTTTTTTTTTTTTTTTTTTTTTTTGAGACGGAGTCTCGCTCTGTCGCCCAGGCTGGAGTGCAGTGGCCGGATCTCAGCTCACTGCAAGCTCCGCCTCCCGGGTTTACGCCATTCTCCTGCCTCAGCCTCCCGAGTAGCTGGGACTACAGGCGCCCGCCACCTCGCCCGGCTATTTTTTTGTATTTTTTAGTAGAGACGGGGTTTCACCATGTTAGCCAGGATGGTCTCGATCTCCTGACCTTGCGATCCGCCCGTCTCGGCCTCCCAAAGTGCTGGGATTACAGGCTTGAGCCACCGTGCCCGGCTCTACTAGTTTTTCAATGTAAGGAGACAGATCATGAACTGAAACTATAACAGATTGTACCTGTTGCAGATAGTGTCAGGAACATATATCTTCAGGTCTTCTGTGACTTCTTTCATCACCCTCTGGTAACCAGATATTCCTGGGTCTTTGATATAATTAGGATTGTTTCTCATTAAATATTCCCCCAAATAATTAATTGGGTCAAACTTGCTTGGAGTATCAACTTCTGTCAAAACCTTCTTCTTTTCTACTTGAGTTAACATGTTTTCTACTCCAGGAACCAAGGTAGGTAAAAGTTTGTCAAGCAAATATGCACGATTATTCAGTGTCATGCTTTCAGTATTAAACCACTCTTTGGCCAAATTATCCCTAGGGAGTTTTTTTTCAGCCTTTTTTTCTAGTTCCTTCTTCACATTTTCCTTGTCTATTATTTTCTGCTGCATTGCTTGGGCTCTTGCCTCCATTCTTTCAAAAAGATTTTTCTTCCATGGTTGCTCTAGCTTTGATTTCAGTTCAGTTTCATCTAAAGCAAAAATCACTTTTGCAGATTTTCTAATTGCAATATTACCTGAGGCTTCAGTTTTAGAGTCCTTTATTGAATCAGGTGAAATTTTTCGCTGCCCTTCCAGGTTTAATTCTGAGGGGAAAAAAAGTGAAATGTAAGAAATGTTAGAAGCAAATTTTAATCTACATGACTTTAGAATAATATTTGAAAAAATTTTTATATCCATTTACACAGTGGATTGGAACAAGGTCAGCTGAAAGTAACAGAAAATTGGACAAAGTGACTTTAACCATAAAGACATTTATTGTTGACTTAATCAGAAGCCATTCAGCAGTTCAGTGATTTCATTAAGTACCTAGGCTGTTTCTGTTTATTTTCGTTCATTTTTTTGCTTGTACCTTATGATCACATGATGACTATCAGAGCTCCAGTCATCACTTCCTCACAGCAAAAAAGGATTGAGGACAAAGGGATTTTCTCCTCTTGAGGCTCTGTTTTATTATCCGATAGGAGAAGATCCCAGACTCCCCACTGTAAGACTTCCCTTTACATTTCATCGGCCCTAACTAGGATACATGCCCACGCCCAGACCAAAGGCTGGTAAAGGAAAATGGTATTACTATGAATAGTATAGACAAATTATAATCTATTTATTGGTGTCAGAGTTTGGATCAAGTTCTCTGATAACAAGTTATTTTCATCTGCTACAACACTGAGGTTCAGTTGGCAGGCAAAAAGGTAGGGAAGGCTGGGCACAGTGGCTCACATTTGTAATCCCAACATTTTGGGAGGCCGAGGCAGGAGGAATGCTTGAGCCCAGGAGTTCAAGACCAGCCTAGGCAACATTAGGAAGATGCTGTTTCTACAAACAATAAAAAAGTTAACCAGGCATGGTGGCTTACACCCGTGGTCTCAGCTACTCAGGAGACTGAGGTGGGAGGATCACTTGAGCCCTGGAGGTCGAGGCTGCAGTGAGCCATGATCATGCCCCTGCACTCCAGTGAGACTTTGTCTCAAAAAAAAAGGTGAGGAAATGTGTGGTGAGCAAGCAAAGAGTCGACCACACATGTATATTTAAATATATTTCTCTTCATTTTATTCCCAGCTTCTTTTATGTTTTCGTTTTTAAAATGCAGGATGCAGACATTAGACCAAGATGGTAGACTGAGAACAGGCATCTACATCCCCTCCCTACCAAAATCTCTAGCAATGACAGGAAAAGTTGTGTGTATGTTTTTAAAATTTAAAAAATGCATAAAAATACTACAATCATGAAGGGGGCCTTCAATTGTCAGGAATTTTGAAGATCTCTGAAAAATGTAAAGCAGGGGAATTCAACTGATTGAAGAAACTATAGCACAAAAAAGATACAGTGGAGACCACTGTAAAATTTGGGAGCAGATTTGAGGTACCCCAAGTTCAGAGGATGTAGATACGGGTCATAGGGGAAAGACTGACCTTTTTGTATATCTTCATGCCCATTTGAGCTAATCAGTGTCTTCCCCTGCACTGAGTTAAGGTATATAGATATTTAGGCTAGAGAAACAGCATTTTCACACGCAGAGAAAATGAATTATTGACAGTTTCACTGTCTGCACATCTTGTCCTTCCCCCACTGGCATCAGACTATAGAAAACAATAACTCTATAGGAAAGCAAATAGAGAATCTCAAATTCAAATGTAAGCACACATTCATAGAATGTTTAAGAAAAATCATCCCCATGACTAAATTCAACAAACAGAATAACTAATACCACCCAAGGAAATACCATTAAATAGAACAAATGTAAGGAGTCAAAGAATTAATATCCTCAGAGCAGAGAAGTTAGAAGAAATTAAAAGTTAAACACTTAAGAGAATGTAGACCATCTAGCGCTCACATCTTGGTTTCGAATATCACTCTCCAATTAAAAAAAAATCAGAACTCCTTGGAGATACAGCTGATTATAGGATTGGGCTCATCTCATATGCAGGAAATATATACAAGAATATCTTGTAGTGCCTAGAATATCTTGCAGTGCCAGAAAGTAACGAAGTGCTGGAAAAAAAGACTAGTAAATAAGTAAAAAGACAAATTTCCTGTGCAGAAATATTCCAAATAATTTATGTAGATACTCCACGATCAAGGATGTAGAGCATAACTCCCCTCTCCTTAAGTGCGGACTGCATATAGTGACTTCCTCTCAAAGAGTACAATATGGAAATGGGAGGGGGAAATAACTTTAGAGAAACCTGAGAAATATTATCTGAACCTAATGATCATTATTAACATTTACAGTAACACATCATGTTGACACCATATACCCATATGTATATGTATATGAATATATGACAGCATATATTCAGCCTCCTGAGTAGCTGGGACTACAGGTACATGCCACCATGCTCAGCTAATTTTTCTATTTTTTTCTTTTTTTGGTAAAGATAAAGTCTTACTATATTGCTCAGGCTAGTATCGAACTCCTGGCTTCAAGTGATTCACCCACCTTGGCCTCCCAAAGTGCTAGGATTACAGTCATGAACCACCATGCCCAGTCAATCCAGAACATTTAATATTAATCTTATAAAAGTGTCAGAAGGTATAAGCCAAGTGTTAGACATAATGAAATATTCAAATAAATAATGTAAGAAATCTCTCAGAACTGAAGAAAGACACAAATCTTCAGCTTTGAAAGGCTTACCAAATGGAGTTTCCATTTATAATGATAAAAACTTTCTAGAACTAGACAGTGGTAATGGTTGCATAACACTGCGAATTTACTTAATGGCTCTGAATTGTACACTTTAACATAGTTTAAATGGTAAATATTATAGTATATGTATTTACCACAATTTTTTTAAAAGCCTACCAAATAAACACAGGATACAAGATTAAAATACAAAAGTAAATTGATTTCCTTGGAACTACCAATTTAAAATGTTTTATATTTTTAGTTACCAATGAAAATATAATTTTATAAAGTTTCATTTCATTATAGCAACAAAAATTTAAAATATCTAGAAATAAACCAAACAGAAATGTGTCAGACTAATATGAAGAAAGCTATAAAACTTTACTGAAGTAGTACTGGCATTAGGATAGACATATAGATCAATGGAATAAAATTGAGAGTCCAGAAATAAACCTATACATCTATGACCAACTGATTATTTTTTAAAGTTCCTCTTCTACTCTGAAACCAATTGATTTTTGACAAGGGTGCCAAGACAATTTAATGGAAAAAACAGTCTCTTCAACAAACAGTGCCATGACAGCTGATATCTACATGCGAAGGGATGAATCTGGATGCCTACCTTATACCATATATAAAAATTATCTTTAGTTTTAACAGTCATATATACAATAGTCTATCCAATATACCAGCAGAATACATAATTTTCTCAAGTGCACATGGCGCATTCTCCAGGATAGACAATATGTTAGGCCACAAAACAAGTCTCAATGGATTTAAAAAAATAGACACCATATAAAATATCTGCTCTTTAATGAAGAGCACAAAACTTGATGAAGTTAGAAATCAATAAAGGAAAACTAGAAAACATACAAAGCTACAGAAAATAAACAACTCATTCTTAAACGACTAATGGGTCAAAAGAATCACAAGGGATATTAGAAAATAATAAGAGAAAAATGAAAATGAATACACAACATACCAAAATTTGTAAGATGCAGTGAAAAAAGGGCTCAGAGGGAAAATCATAGCTGTAAGTGATTACATTTAAAAAAGTCAAATCTGAGGTCAGGAGATTGAGACCATCCTGGCTAACACGATGAAACCCCATCTCTGTAAAAAAAAAAAAAAAAAAAAAATTAGCCAGGCGTGGTGGTGGGCACCTGTAGTCCCAGCTACTTGGGAAGCTGAGGCAGGAGAATGGCGTGAACCTGGGAGGCGGAGCTTGCAGTGAGCTGAGATCACGCCACTGCACTTCAGCCTGGACAACAGAGCAAGACTCTGTCTCAAAAAAAAAAAAAAAAAGTCAAATCAATAACCTAACTTTACACCTTAAGAAACTCGAAAAAGTAGTGCAAACTAAACACAAAACTAGCAAAAGAAAGAAAATAATAAAGGTTAAAGTAGAGATAAAAGAGAGAATAGAAAAATAGTAGAGAAAAACAATTTCACCAAAAATTGGTTCCTTGAAAAAAATCAACAGAATGAATAAACCCTGAGCTAGACTGACAAAAACATTAGCAAAGATACATAAATAACCAAAATCAGAAATGAAAGTGGGGACATTATCACCAACCTTACAGATATTTAAAAAAAAAAAATAATTATAGGCTGGGCGCAGTGGCTCATGCCTGTAATCCCAGCACTTTGGGAGGCTGAGGCAGGCAGATCACGAGGTCAGGAGTTCAAGACCAGCCTGGCCAACATGGTGAGACCCCGTCTCTACTAAAAATTCAAAAATTAGCCAGGTGTGGTGGCACACACCTGTAATCACAGCTACTTGGGAGGCTGAGGCAGGAGAATTGCTTGAACCCAGAAGGTGGAGGTAGCAGTGAGCAGAGATCACACCATTGCGCTCCAGCTCTGGGTGACAGAGCAAGACTCTATCTCGGAAAACAAAAACAAAAGCGGTTACAAGAGAATACTGTGAGTAATTGTATGCCAACATATTGGATAACCTAGAAGAAATGAACCAATTCCTTGAAATTACTTAAAACGACTCAAGAAGAAATAGAAAGTCTCAAAAGATCTTGCATTAGTTAGTTTATTTTGTGTTGCTATAAAGAAATACCTGGAAAAAAAAAAAAAAAGGAATACCTGAGACTGGGTAATTTACAAAGAAAAGAGGTTTATTTGGCTCAGGCTGTATGTGAAAGAGTGCCAACATCTGTTCCCAGTGAGGCCTCAACAAGCTTATAATCATGATGGAAGGCAGAGGAGGAGCTGGCATATCACATGGTGAGAGAGGGAGCAAGAGAGAGAGAGAAGAGGTACCACACTCTTTCAAACAACCAGACCTCACATGAACTCATAGAGTGAGAACTCACTCATTACTGCAAGAACAGCACCAAACCATTCATGAGGGATCCACTCCATAACCCAAAAACCTCCCACTAGGCCCACTTCCAACATCATAGGTCACATTTCAATATGAGATTTGAAAGGGACACACATTCAAAC